TTTCCTTACATCACATATCTTTTATGTTTACCTGTTTCTTATCTTTAAAAGTCCCCATGTTCTTGCGCCATCGACTGCCTCAAAGTTTACCAACCCGGCCACTCCCTGAGTTATAGATGTTTTGGTGACAAGAAGCTGGAACAAGTAGATGCCTGGACCTGATCCTATGATGAGGTAACAAGGGGTGGAGTTTTGAATTGCTCACCACTGGTTTCCTACCTGAAGGCAGTGATACAATAACAACAACAAAGTACACTTGAATAGCGTCTTTCATGTCAGGAGGATGTCCCGAGGTCCTGAACTGTCAAGGATTTGCACCTGAGCTGGGGGATTGGGATCAGGAGGGGTGGAGGGTTAGGGTGAGTGGGGTAGGAGGGTGACCGAAGGCGGTAAATTAAATGTAAGGATTGTTATAATTTGAGCCTCACACTCTCGCTCTCAGCTTTCAAAACTCTTCTGAAACATCTACCTCTTTAATTGTGCCTTTGGCCACCTGTTTCCTAATCCTATCACCCTCTGCCCATCCTCCACAAAATCCCCCAATGGCTTTGAGACTTGTTATATAACAATAATAATAATAATAATAATGATAATAATAATCCTTGTATTTGATATCGCGCCTTATCACGTCTTCGAGACTTCACAAAGCATTTCACGAATATACTGTAAAGTGAATTGACTGAATATTTTGTGAAAGGTCCTCAAGAAGTTTGAGTTGTCATTGCTATTGGGGTAAGATTCAGATAGACTGGAAATCATCGAAAAATAAAAAATAAAAGTTTTATTTTGCAAAATAGAAATCCATCTTCCTCACTTACCACTTATCATGAGGGGCACTAATTAATATTAGGGTCCTCAAGGCTTTCAATCAGTTTAAATAATCAGTAAATCAAAGTTTGGGAACTTAATCTTTGATCTTTCACACCCTTCCTCCGCTGGCCTGTTTGGACTTGGCAGACGTTAAAAACCCTATAATTGACATGACGCTATGTCGCGCCCTGTGCTCTCAGGCTCTGTGTTCTCCTCATCTCTCCGATGTCAATTATGGATTGTTTGGCTGTCCCAGTTTGTTCTGCAAACGTCTATGCAGCACCGCAGAGAAAACAAAACTTGTTCTTCGACTTTCTGGGGCGGCAACCAAATGTGTCTGGGTGACACACACACATGCCTTGATCTCTTGCCCCTCTTGGGATTTCAGTTCGCGGAATCTGGCCCCATTTGAACGGTTGCAAAGGTTGTTGCAAAGAGCAAAGCAGAGTTGGACGACTTCGATTAACGCTTAAAGCATCGTCCTCACCTCATCTCAAATCGTCCTCACCTTCAAGAACCTACACGGCCTTGCCCCTTCCTAGCTCTGTGACCTGCTAACCCCTTATTAACCTGTCTGATCACTCCGCTCAGCAGGCTTCGGTCTGCTCCAGGTCCCCCGCCTGGCCCACCCCACTATTGGCGGTTGGGCCTTCAGCCTCTCTGCCCCCACTCTTTTGGAACTCCATCCCATATTCCTTTCGCCTCGCTCCATCTTGCCTCCATCAAGGCACATCTCACGACCCTCCACTTCGACCGTGCCTTCGGCTACCCTCTCTGACCTCCTCCCTCCCTTATCCTAAACCTCCCCCTCCTCAGGTCCAAATCCCTAACTGTCCAGCATCTTGGGAAGTCCTCCCGACGTGAACGGCGCTATACAAATGTAATATTGTATTGTGTCGTTGGGTACATCGCAAAGGCAGTCAGAGGCCCGGTGGCATCGCAACCAATGACTCACTTTCCTTTCTCCATAGATGCCGCCTGACCTGCTGAGTGTTCCCAGCGACTTCTGTTTTTGTGTACAAAGAAAATAGTAATTGTTGCATTTGATGTCGTGCCTTTCATGTCGGGAGGACGACAATAGTAGAAACAACAAATTATATTTGTACAGCGCCTTTCATGTCAGGAGGACGTCTCTTTCAATGCTCCAAGTGGTTATCCTATGTGAAGGGCACTGTATAAATGCAAGTTATTATTGCTGCTTTCTCAAACCACTTTGCAGGATATACTGTAAAAGTGCAGCGACTGAGTATTTTGTAAGCGAACAGAGCAATCAATTCGGTCCTGTACGAGGAACAAAGTGGTACATGGCGAAGGGATTCACATCAATAATTCTTGGGAATAATTGGGGAAATAAATATTGGAATTTATTGTGACAGGTATTTGAGGGTCCAACACCCTCCTCTTTGGCCACACATTTGGCCACCCTCCTACCCTCCTTGCCCTCCACACTCCATCATCCCAACCCCCTCTGCTCGGGTCCAAACCCCTGACTGTCCTGCGCCTTGGGACATCCTCCTAACATAAAAGGCGTGAAACATAAGAAATTTAGTATTGTGTTGTGTTTCTCTTATGCCTCAGTTGGTTGAAGGCATTGTATGATATAATACTGAACCTCACAGCCTGGAATGGTCCTGGATCCTGTCCCTGGGTTGGAGAGCTAAAGCGAGGAATGAACAATAACAACAACAAAATTACATTTATAGAGCGGCTTTTACGTCGGGAGGATGTCCCAAAGCGCTGAACAGTCAGGGGTCAGGACCCGAACGTGAGGGAGGGATGGTGTAGGGGTGAGGGAAGGCAGAGAGGTGGGAGGACGACCAAAGGCACGATCGAAGAGAAGGGTCTTGAGACCGGCCTTGAAGGAGGCAAGGGAGGAAGTGAGGCGAAGGGATCGTGGGATGGAATTCCAGAGTGTGGGGGCAGAGAGGCTGAAAGCCGGCCACCGATGGTAGGGCGGGTTGGGTGGGAGACATGGAACAGGCCGGAGCCCGCTGAATGGAGGGAGCGGTCAGGTTGGAAGGGAGTCAGCAGGTCAGAGAGGTAGGAGGGGGCAAGGCCATGGGTGGCCTTGAAAGTGAGGACGAGGATCTTGAATTCAATCTTCTGGGGGATGGGGAGCCAGTGGAGTCGGGTGAGAGTGGGAGTGATGGGGTCACGGAGCCCGGTGCGCGAGAGTACACGAGCTGCAGAGTTTGGGATGATCTGCAGCTTGTGAAGGGAAGAGTTGGGAAGGCCGATGAGGAGGGAGTTTCCGTAATTGAGCCTTGATGTGACGAATGCGTGGATAAGGATTTTGACAGCCTGAGGGGTGAGACAGTGGCGGCGTCTGGATGAAGTATCAAAGAGCCTCGTTTATTGCGGCTGGAAAGGGGAAACATTCTAAAGACAGCGTCGCTGCTCGTCGTTTCTGCACCCGGCTGGACAGTGTGCATCAGCTGTGTTGGTGAGGACAGCATTCAGCTCATCTGTGATAAACTCCATGGTTGAATGGATAAGCAGCAGTCAGTGCTTACCTTAGCACCTAAAGTCTGCACACATGGGCTAGATCCCAGGCTAGACTGCTGATGCTCATTGATCCATTAAATGATTATATATTGACTCAGTATATAATCATCACCACAGTCAGCACAGAGGAGGGAGGGGTAGAGAGAGAAATATTACCAAGTAAAAGTTATTGTGGTTTTATGTTCAATTGTATCGGAAGATTCTCGTATAGGGATATGATTTGTGTTTGCGCTCTATAATACACGAGCAATCCTCGAAGTTGATATAGCGCCTTTCAGGTCAGGAAAACATCTCGAGGCGTTCCCCAGGATTCAACGCTGCCTACACGTGGAAATTTTCCCACAGGAGAGAAAAACACTAAACCCAGAGCGACAAGCGGTCTCCCATCCCAAGGCGTGAAGGGTAATTTTAAGAAAGAGGGCAGGAATGCTTCAGATGTGAAGGAGTTCAAAGAACACAAGCATAGGCACGGAATCAAAGGGTTAATCCAACATGAGGTCACCTACTTGCGGTATGGCATCTGATACATTATGTATCTCTTCAGCAGAAAACTAATCCTCGCCGCAATGCAACTGATGCGCTCTGTCGCTTGCAACATACCTGCCTCAATCCCATTTTGTACCGTATGCTTATGAGCACTTGTTTTTTTAACATGGACCAAAAACTGGGAGCAGCCATTCAGCTCTGTGCTCCAACAGTTCTTTTGTATATGTGTTCTATGTAAATACCAGTGTGCGCAGGCCTGGGTGTGTTCTAAACACACTTTAGATGTCCGAGGCTACTGTCGAGCCTTCTCTCAATCCTTGGCCCGTAATGCCTTGGAGCCAAATAAGTGGCATAACTAGATGCTTCTTGCCGTTTCTTTTTTCCAGAAAACAAAATGATTAGCAACTTCCTTCTAAGAATATAACGCCGTGCGCTTTAAATGGTATTGTGATGTCCTGTAGCTCAGTGGTTAGAGCGCTCGCCTCGCAAGCGAGAGACCTGGGTTTGATTGCTTACCCCACACACCACTGTTCATCCAGCAGTAAGTTAGAACTTGGTTGTTAGTCGATTAGCGGATCGCTTTTCCGGGGGTATTAATTCCTTAAAAAAAAATTGGTCACTTCAATCCGCGACTGTTTGGGACACTGCTGTGCGCAATTTGGCTGCCGCATTTCACCCAGGAATATACAATTAATTCACTTTACAGTACAGTCTGTGAAGTGCTTTGAGACGTCTTGAATGTGTGATAAGGCGCTACATGAAGTACAAGGATTCTTATTATTTTTACTAAGAGGGAAAATAGATCACAACAATCAGAGGTGTAGAATGAGCTGGTACATCCAATGGTACCAATGGTCCTAGCGTTAAACAGCTGGCATTGGACAGATGTTTTAGACAGTGGGAATTGTTACATTGATGATCAAATCGCCGAGGCTGAGACTGACCAACCAAAAAAAAAAGATGCGCTTGAGCAGCTGTCATTTTCTCTTCTATTTTGTTCAACAATGTTTTTTTTCTTAAAAAGCGAAAGGGCATTCGGGAGGCAAGGAGCCTGCACCGGTTGATGTTATTGACATGGAATCTGCGTGTCATTGGATTTAAAGTTATAGCTGACAAGCAGCCTTCAGAATACCTTTGTAGATTTACAGGGTTCTGCTATTAGGTAAATTACAGTATAGCCAAGAACAGATAAGAGGCCATGTGATCGTACAACAAGGGGAGTGCCAACAGTGTAGGTTGAAGGTGCATTTCAGTTACTGGTTAAATACGATAAAGCACATGTAAAACAGCAGAGAATACCTATTTACACATTAGATGCACGGCTGCTAAACTATATGGAACAGGGCAAAAGCTAGCATTGCACTTTCTGGGGCCCAAGATCAGGAAACAGAAACACCTGGAAGTAAAATGTCACTAAATGGGAGAAATTGGAGGGCTCTCTCCAGGTAGGTGGTGCCTGATCTTAATATTTAAAGACTTTTCTGTGTTCGTGCATGATACAGTGGAACTGCTGCCAGAGGTGTACGCTGGAAAAGAAATGAAAACGGTGAATAGGAGTGAGATATACTGTACATGTCAAGGAATGAGCGCAGAACATACACTGTGTTTTAAGAATAACCGACCGCATAACATTCTGTTGTTAAGAAAATCCAACACAAGAGAAAGGAGTGTAAGGTGACAGACTGTGTACAATACAGGAAAATAGTTTTATGCTGGAACACAAACAAAAGTGGAAGAACTTGCCTATGTTCCTGTTTTAAGTACCTGTTGACTTGCTGTTTGAGCTAATCAGTTACCTGAAAGTCTTGCTGACTACCTGGTTAGTTGGCAAATGTTCACAATGGCGACTCTGTGTGTGAGTCTCACAACTTTACTTCCATCTTTCGTACAAATGAAATAATGGGATTAATACTTAATTAATAGAGCGCTCAGTTCAAAATTGCCTGCACCCCAAGTAAACGCTCATGTATTGTGTAATGCATCTCTCAGGCAGTTGTGTTGTGTTATTGAATGATAGAATAGATGTATTCATTTATTCTCGTCTTTTCTAAAAAGTTTCATTTTGCTGCATTTGTTTGCCTCACCATTATGCTGTCCATAACCGTATTGGCTCCTTCTCTCTGGTCTATAATAATAATAATAATCCTTGCATTTGATATAGCACCTTATCACATCTTTGAGACGTCTCAAAGCGCTTCACAGAATATACTGTAAAGTGAATTGACTGTATATTTTGCTGTTAGGTAAATTACAGTATACTACTGCTCATTCCAACCACCACCATTGATGGCTAAACTTTCGACAACAACAAATTACGTTAGGATCGCATCTTTCATCTCGGGAGGACGTCCCAACGTGAAAGGCTCCAGTCACTGCTTTATGCAACTAATGTTTTTTTCCAAAATCTCTTTTGCCTTCTCTCCCCTTAAAGATGTATCTTTTTCTTGCTACGTTTGGTCATTCATCCTCAAATTGCCCCCCTTTCCTTCCTGCTTTGTGATTTTCCCCTCCCCTCCACTCCCCGTCTTGTGGAACGGTTTAAGCTGTTTGTCCTATGTGAAAGGTGCTGTATAAGCACAGCTGATTTTGATATGAGAGAAGGAGAGTTCAGCCAAAATAGAGGCCATAAATGTGGCATGTTGGGTGATCTGTTAAGATCTGTGCTTGCGTCCTATACCATCGCTCTACTTGACAGTTTCTCCTCCCACACCCACCCATCCCACAAATGACGTAGCTGAGATTGGTTAGTAAATCACACCTGAGACCAAGAGTGTCTGGGTTTTAAACTTGTCTCTCGCCAGAAAGGTATTAGCCTTGCTCACATAGCGCTCTTACCTCTGAGTTACAAACTTGCGGATCGAAGCCTCGTTTCAGGACTTTGAGCTCACAGTCCAGGCAGCCAATGTACCCACATCAATAATAATAATTCAAAAAATCCTTGCATTCAGTGTCCACAGATAGTTTTGAAATGAATGTCCCAATTTTATCTGGGGGAATTCATGAGCTCATCCAGCTAATCAGGCAGATAGGACCTTAGTTTATTGTCTCATCTGACGGATGACACCTCCAACTATGCAGGGCACCACGGTGTATTGGTATGTCAGAGTAGACTGTGAGCTCAAAGTCCTGGTGTGGGGCTTAGAACCCACATCCTCCTGACCCAGAGGCAAGAGTGCTACCAATTTAATCAAGCTGACGAGATAACCTGTACAATATGCTCCAGCCTTAAAACTACAACATTATACCGTTATGTCCTCACAGTACTGTGTTTCGAGAGAGTTTGTAAGAAAAATACGGTTGGGGCATGAAGTGGAAGAAAAACAGCTTTCCCTATTTAGTCAATTATTTTTTATTTGGGCAATTAAATGAGGAAACGTTGTATCATAGAATCATAGACTTTTACCACATGGACGGAAGTCATTTTCCATCTACTGAAGCATTCTGCTCTCATCCCATTCACCGGCAGCTTCCCTAACTAACTGACTAATGGATCTAAAAGAGATCTTAGGAGGAACTTCTTTACAAAGGATGGTGAGATTTTGGAACTCGCTGTCAGAGGTCGTGGTTAAATCAAAAAGCATTGGTACATTTAGGAGGAAACTCCATGCATATAGGAGACAGAGGGAATAACAGGAGAGGGGATTAGGAGGGGTGTAGGTTTATGTGGAGCATTATAATTATAATAATAATAATCCTTGCATTTGGTAAAGTGCCTTATCATGTCAATGAGACATCTCAAAGCACTTCATGGAATATGCTGTAAAGTGAATTGACTGTATATTTTGTGGGCGAAACTGGCAGCCAATTGCGCGCAGCAGTGTCCCACAAAGAGTCGTGGATTTTATCTTTTAGGGATTATTACCCACGGTAAGCAATATACCGATCGACTAACAACTGGGTTCCTACTTATTGCTATGTGAACAGAGACATAAATACCAGCATGGACTAGATGAGCCGAATACTCTGTTTCAGTGGTTAGATTATATGAAATTCGATGTAATGACAACTTGTTTGTTGCTTGTTCAGAGAAGGAAACTTGTTTTGTCTTTCGATCAATGATGCAAAACTGCAAGTTACTTTATTCCAATAAATGAACAGGGACACACCCAACAATAAGCATGAAAGTGAAAATGCTGCAATTGGGGAGTGCTGAATTGCAGACAAGGATCCTGTAATCTCTTCCACATTATTTCAACACTGGCTGATACCATAAAGAGCCAAACAACCTGTTATAATATTTAATTTGAACATATCAGCCAAGTGGTGAATACACACAGTCAAGTGTTTAAATGCTATAATCTCCTAAAAAGTCTGTGTGGTCGACTTAGAGGTTCAATTGTTATTTAACTGATCGAATATATCTGGACATGCAGAGGATGGAATATTTGCCCCTTTGCCCCACCTCCCCTCCCCCTACGGTGTTACATTTTAATGAATCTTACTATTCATAGCATGTTTGAACACCCCCCCACCCTCTTCCCCCACCAACAGGAAGCTGGTGTCTTGTGTTTATCTGCACAATACACAGTCACTGCATTTTAATAATAATAATCCTTGCATTTGATATTGTGTCTTATCACGTCTTCGAGATGTCTCAAAGCGCTTCACAGAACATACTATAAAGTGAATTGGCTGTGTATTTTGTGGGCAAAGCACTGCAGCAATTGGGCACAGCAGGATTATTGTTATTATACATAATGCATATACTTACACAAACACACATTGGATCTTGAGTAGATTTTGTAACAGGTTTATCTGGATTTTCCTTTTGTGAGTCCTTCCCTCCACTGAGTGTACAGTAATGGTGGCCTTTTAACAACATCAACTTACAATTCATATGACACTTTTTCTATCCAGAGGACATCTCAATGCCCCCTTTCAGAAGGTGTTGAGCACCACACCCTGTGTGCTGGGAAATCACCAATAAAACAGAGCATCTTAATCAATCCAAGGTTATTTCCATTAAGTTCTATAAAGCTTTCCCACGAAGCTCAAAGTGCTTCACAGGATTTAATGTAAAGTGTAGTGACTGTGTATTTTGGAGTAAACACAGCGGCCTGTTTTTTCGCACAACAATGTCCCAGAAAACAGCGATGAGGTGAATGACCAATTTTATTCAGGGATTGTTGGCCAGGACACCGGGAGAATCTCTTTTCGAGTAGTGTGGGACTTTCAACATTCACTTGAACAGGCTGACAGAGAAGGTCTGCCTTTTCAGGTCAATGTTTAAGATCTCAAAGGAGAAGGAAGTTTGCCCTGTGTCTGGTCCAGCAGAGATCTGGACGAATTTGCTGTTCAGCTCCTGACTTGGGGGAAGTTGCTGGGAGAATTTGACCACAATTTTCTTACAAATATAGAATTTGCACTTGACAGCAAATAGCTTTGAAGCTTTTCGAGATATTTCCATGTGATAAACTCAAAACATGCAAATTCTTTTGTCATGGGAAAAACAGAGTGTATGATAGGAGATGGTGGATGGAAAGGGCAGAGTAAGGGATGGTGAAAGCAAATGATAACAGATTGCATTGTGTTTTGACCAGCTCGATAAACTGTGAAGCATGTGTGTCAGAATTATAGTTTTCTCCTCCTTCTTGCTTAATGTCCCTGGGACACAGTTTGAAAGGAGAAGGAAGTTTGCTTCTGAAATATCTTCCTGACGTGAAGGGCGCTATACAAATGTAATGTTGTTGTTGTTGTGATGCCGGTCTTGGTACTTGGTCTATTTTGTCTTTCTGTTCACCCTGGAACTGCCTCATTGATCGGTGTTCGCATACATTATCATGATAATCCTTAAATGTTCTTCCATTTGTTATCTGGATTACAACAACAACAAGATTTCACGTCGGGAGGACGTCCCAAGGCGCTGGACAGTGTACAGCAATTCAGACCCGAGCTGGGGTCGAGAGGGAGAGGAGAGAGGAAGGGGGGTGGCCGATGGCATAGTCGAAGAAGAGGGTTTTGAGGAAGGACTTGAAGGAGGCTAAGGAAGGGGTGAAGCCGAGTGATTGGGGGATGGAGTTCCAAAGGTTGGGGGCAGAGTGGCTGAAAGCTCTCCTGCCAATGGTGGGGCGGGTGGGTCGGGGGACGTGGAGCAGGCCAGAGCCGGCTGAACGGAGTGAGCGGACAGATTCTTAGGGGCTTAGGAGGTCACAGAGATAGGGTGGGGCGAGACCATTGAGTGCTTCGTAGGTGAAGACCAGGATTTTGAACTGGATCCTCTGAAGGATAGAGAGCCAATGGAGTCGGGCGAGAATGGGGGAGATGGGGTCACAGAGTTTGGTGCGGGAGAGGACACGAGCTGCAGAGTTCTGGATTATCTGCAGCCTGTGGAGGGAGGAGTTGGGAAGGCCAACAAGCAGGGCATTCGCATAGTCGAGCCCGGAGGTGATGAAAGCTTGAACAAGAGTTTCAGCGGCCTGAGGATTACGTCCCAAAGTGCATCACAACATTTTTTGTAAGGTGCAGCATCTGTGTATTATGTTGGTGAATGTAGCAGCCAATTTGCTTACAACAATGTCCCTCAAACAGCCATGAAGTGTGCGAACAATTTTATTTGAGGGCTTATTGGCCAGGATACTGGTAAGACTTCCTTCTCTTTTTAGATAGTGCCATGGCATCTTTAACTTCCACCTGAATAGCAGACAGGACCTTGGTTTAATAACTTAGCCGAAGGATGGTACCTCCAACAATACAGAGCTCTCTCAGCACAAAATAGCAAAATAATGTCGTGCATGAATCCTGCGAAGCACTTTGAGACCTTTTGATGACATGATATAATAATGATAAGAAGAATCCTTGCATTTGATATAGCTCCTTATCAGGTCTTCGAGACATCTCAAACGCTTCACAGGATATACTGTAAAGTGAGTGACCGTATATTTTGTGGGTGAAATGCGATAGCCAATTGCGCACAGCAGTGTCCCATAAGCAGTCGTGGATTGATGACCTGATATGGCACGATATCAAATGTAGGCATTATTATTATTATTATATATTTTACGAAATGAGTCCAAGCTCTGTGGAGATCTCAGTTGTCCATTTCCTGAGCCAGGTGGGTCTGCAGTACTCCAGGGCGTGTTGACAGACCAACCAGCCCAGTTTGCCGGTAGACCAGTCACTGAGGGCAGGAATTCTTCCCACTCAGCTGTTGTTAACCCTGCAAGCCAAAGCCCTAACTGGTAGGGTGGTCCTAGATGGACAAGCAGCAGAGAAACTTGCCAGAATTCTATATTTTATTTTAATTTTTTTAGTGGAACGATTAGAGCAGCAGGCTGACTTTTAGATTTTATCGCGTCAGATCATGCATGAAATCTCTCACAAACATACGACTCGATGTTACATTTCAGCAGTCAGGCCACAATGCTTCCATTGCACAGGTCATTTACTGTAACTTACCTTGAATGAGTGGCATATACTATTGTTGTCAGCTGGGTTTACCCACTATAGGATTCCATGAAAATTAAAAATATAATGTTAAAANGTGCGCAGCGTAAAGTTAGGAGGTGGTGAATAGGTACAACAACAACAAGAACAACAGGCATTTATATAGCTCTTCATGCAGGGTAGTGTCCCTGAGCTCTTATCTATTGAGTACATCTGTCAAGAAAGATTAGATATGTTAGAGCTTTTCTCTCTAGAAATGAGATGATTTAAAGGGGACCTGATCGACTGCCAGAATCTAGCACATTCATGATTTCAGTCTTAAGTTTTGACACCTGCTTTTCTTAACGAACTTACACAAAACCGGCTTCAAAAATAAGGCTGTATTTAAGAAATCGCTAATTTCTGTATGTTCTGAAATGCGACGTCTAGACCCAGGTAGAATTTTACCCATTGAGATGTTAATTATCACATTCAATCAATTAAGAAGCATTATAAAATTCAGCCTAATTTCCACAGCGGAGATGAAAGCAGATTCTAATCTAATTCTTACCAATGAGCCAATATTTTCGAGGGAAGTGTTAGCCAAGCCCTTTATTTGTGTTTGGAGGCACGAGAACATATATTTAAATAAGATTTATGTCAGTCTGGTCCACTGTAAAGTGAATTGACTGTACATTTTGTGGGCGAAACGCGGCAGCCAATTGCACGCAGCAGTATCCCACAAACAGTCGTGGATTGAATAATAATCCTCGTGTTTGATATAGCGCCTTTCATATCTTGAGGATATGCGCTTCACAGGATTTAATGAGAGTTGACTTCAGTCCCGCTGTTGTGGGTTGTGCGCGAACCTGTATCTCAGAGGTGATACAGAGAACCTCTAACCCAGTGATCCGCCCAATACAAACTTTGATGATAAGAAGATCCTGCTGACACGGAACTGTCCTGTGTGTGTTTTGTTTCTCACAGTCTGGCCCGTCAGAGATCGATGGAGGATGATGAGGAGTTTGAGAAAGCTCGCCGTCGCCGCGACAGAATGAGCAGCTCAGTCACACACTGTGACAGTATTTCTGAGGAGAACGAAAATACATCTGTGATAAGGTACAGATACTGTAACTAACCGGGGCGGGGGTGGGGGGGTGGGGATGGTGGAGGAGGTGAAGTGGGAAGCATATACATTTGCTCTTTTTCTCAACCGCTTTTCTTGTCTTGATTAGCACAAAGAACGTGTTGAGAAATCATTGGAAAAATGTAGCCCCCATTCACCTCTGGAAATAATCTGATTGATTGTTTTTCACTCAGTAAAGTAACGGAGCTATAAATCACCACAGTGCACGTGCCTATGACTGTGGGGAAGAGGAATTGGAATAGCTGGCTGTACATTTCTTCTCTGTTTGATAACTGTCCTCGGAGGTGGGGGGGTGGGAGGGGAATATGTGGGTCTCTTCAGGTCTGAGTTAGCTGCAAGATAACATGGCAGGCAGTGGGTTACTGGAATCCAGTTAATCCACTGGTGGGCTGGTTCCTGAACCGGGCAGTTCTGCACTACTTTAAGACATTATTGATGATCAGCTAGCCTGGTTCATCAAAAGAGGGACAGACCAGTCATTGGAGGCCGAGTTTCCTTCCACTCAGCTCCTATTAATCCTTACGCTATATCGAATGCAAGGAATATTATAATTATTATGATTGTATAATATTTAATCAATTGTTTGGGTGTAATTCCACCTGTGTCCAGCTTTATTCTATTACTGTAGCACTTCAGAGCGTGCCAGGATTCGACAAAAGAAAAGAAAGAATAAAATTCCTTACGAAAACAAAATCAGCTTCAAAATTAAAGACAAGATGCTCTGAATTGCCCCACCAGGAGATTAAATGTAGATAGAACCAGATGGACTTTCTTCCAACAAATCTATTTTATATTCTGATAAAACTTTGTACATTATAGTTTATTAATATTTCACAAAGTATTTCAAACACGTGTGTCAGCCTGGCTCAGTTGGTAGCACTCTCGCTTCAGAAGGTCCTGATCCCAACCACCAGCTCGGGTGCGGATCCCTGACTGTCCAACGCTTTGGGACGTCCTCCTGATGTGAAAGGCGCTGTACAAATGTAATTTGTTGTTGTTGGGGGTTCAAGCCCCATGTTGGATTGTCACAGGTGCCGTCCAATGGATGAGACGTTAAATCCAAAGGCCCCGTCTGCCTGTTCATGAGGACATTAAAGATCCCGTGGCACTGTTCAAAAAGAAAAGGGAGTTCCTCCAGGCGTCTTGGCCAACAATCCCCAAATAAAATTGCTCATTTACTTAATGGTTGTTTTGTGGGGCATTTCTGTGTGTAATTGGGCTGTCACGTGTGCCCACAAAACACCCAGTAACTACATTTTACATACATCCCTGAGAGGCGCTTTGGGATGTCCTCCCGACGTCAAAGCCACTGTACCTAATGTAAAAATTATAATAATTTATTATTGTTTTATTATTATTATGTAAAAATTCTGATCATTAAACATAGAGTTTAGAAAGTCTCTAAGTGATGCATCCTTTATATATTAAAAAAATCTGAGTTGCGATTGAATGTCATGGAAACTAAGTGGATTATTTGCTGGTGCTGCTGTACCTGCACCAAGTTAATAATTTTCACAGTGGAGTGTATTGGCGTGTGAGACCTTCCTCTCTAAACCAAGGCTAAATCAGGCCCTAAAGTACTAATTTCCTCCTTCAGCTCAATGGAAAGTCAAAACTTGGCTCAGCTTCACGTGTTTGCTGAGCTGCTGACATGTAATGTAATCTCGAACCAGCCCTCATGAGTATTCCATGCAGAGCTGGGGAGAAATTCCACCTAGGTAGAGATTTGCTCTGTTTATAATAATAATCCTTGCATTTGATTTAGCGCCTTATCATGTCTTCGATACGTCTCAAAGCGCTTCACAGAATAGGCTGTAATATGAATTGGCCGTATATTTTGTGGGCGAAACGCGGCAGCCAATTGCGCACAGCAGCGTCCCATGAGCAGTCGTGGATTAAAGTGATCAATTTTTTTTTACGGAGTTATTACCCCCAGAAAAGCGATCCGCCAATCGACTAACAACCGGGTTCCTACTTACTGCTCGGTAAACAGAGTAAGGAAATTGCCCAACATTTCACCTGCCAGGAATTGAACCCGGTTCTCTCACTTGCGAGGCGAGTGCTCTAACCACTGAGCTACAGGACTCCACTTTATGTAACATTTCAGAGTGTCCAGAATTTGGCAAATTGTTGCATTCATCTTCCACTCCGTGGCTGTTCACTGTGTACACATTGGCTGCCAGACTTCATGTTTCACCCACAAAATGCAGTCAATCCATTTTAACTATATCCCGTGAAACTCTTTGAAAGTCTTGATTCCCTGATATGGCACTATATCAAATGAAAGGATTATTGTATAATATTATTATTAGTATTAATAGATTTGCAGTTGGGTTTATGTAGTTTCTTAAAGTAACTTAAGGAAAAGAAGAGCTTCAAAATTCAGTTGTGTTTAAAAGTCTGCTGAGTTCTGAACACTCTGAATATATAAAGAGAGTTAATCTGGGCCCAGGTGGAATTTCTTCCCAAGCGTTGATTCAGTGCATTGAATCAACTGTAAAAGACAGTGCAAACCTTAGTTTAAGAGCATCGATTTGATAGCAGCCGACTTCCTGAATTCACCTCTCGAGGTTGCAGTGAAAATACAAATCTTAATTTCCCCCTTTTAATAACAAACCGCTAACAATAAAAATGATAAATCTTGCATTTGATATAGCGCCTTTCATGTCGAGAGGATGTCTCAAAGCACTTCACAGGATTCACGGTAAAGCGTGACTACTCCATTCATTGCTCGAATGTGTCTCTCAAACAGACATGAAATGAATGACTCATTTTAATTGTGGGATTGTCAACCAGGACACCTGGAGAAACTCCCTTTGTCTTTCAGATAGTGCCATGCAATCTTTAACAACCACCTGAACAGATGGGATTTCGGTTTAATGTTTCATCCGAAGGGCGACACCTCTGACAATCTAGTGCTCCCCCCAGCACTGCACTGGAGTGTCAGGCTAGAATATGTGATTTCGAAGTCACAACGTGACTTAGTTCAACAGGTTTATGCCTCAGAAGGCTTTAAACAGCAATTCCCTTCTCTCTCAGGCATGCATTGAGCTTGCTCTTAAATGCATTGACCCCTTCTGCTTCAATCAATGCTTCTGGCAATGAGTTCCACATTCTCACCACACTCTGGGTAAAGAAGTTCCTCAAATATGCCATTTGTTAATATAAATTTTAAGTTTTTTTTCATATCATTTGCAGAACTTACAGCACAAGTAAATTATTCCCACCGGCCCGTTAAAACGAGCCGAGTACTATAGCTTTACCAGGCAGGTGATTTTTATTGCCTGGCTCTCCCAGAATGTGCTAAAGAATGAGCATTTGTGCAGGGGGTTCATTACAAGGTAGTATGGGGGCAGGAAATGACTGCTAAAGTTTCATGATGAATTACAGTCAGGTCCAGTGGGGCAGATTCGCAATGTATGCTGCAGCACATCATAAATATTTTAGCTCAGTGAAATGTTTCTCAAATAATTATTCCCCGCCTGCAATCAAGAACCGAGGCTGACGAGCAAGACAAATCTTCAGTGTTTGCACATTCGGAAGGTGATACCATTGAGTTTACTGAAATGCTGAGGAAGAGACAAGAGGACAAGAGGAGGTACCAGCAGGAGACTTTGGAGAGCTTGAAAAGTGCAAAGTCCCCTGTGGAAATGTGTGAGGAGGACAGGACAGGGAAGAAGGAGTGCACAGAGGAGAGCAGGGAGCCCGAGAGGAAAGAAGTTCTCCCTGAAACACGCAGGACAAGTTCAGAAGACAGCGAGGAAACCGATAGGAGAACATTGAAGGTAAGCCACGTCCCCTGCACTGTGAATCCCCTTAGAGGTGTCCACACTGTGATACGCTTTGAGACGTTCTCCGAACAAGAAAGTCGCAATACATAAATGCAAATTGGGTTGAAGTGAATCAGTGTTAACGGAACACCTTGATCTTGAGATCTCTAAAGCTTGTTTTGTGAGTTTTGTATTCTCTTTTGTTAGAAGACCTCTGTGGCAGTGCCAATCCGAAATGAGATACTGAGATGTAAGGGATAATGTAAACAGCAACAACTTGCTTATAAACAGTACCTTCTCGGCAGGTAATGTCTCTGAGAGATTTAAACGCGGCCAGGTCAAACCAAAATCACACCAATTTTTAAAAGATAAGATTTCAGTTTGTTTCTTTCAACTGGAAGTCAGGCTGAATACATCTCGAAAATGATAGATAATAGCTGGGTAGTATGTTGCGGTGAAGTTAGCTGTAAATGGTACCAAGACCCATTTTGCAGCGTGAACTCTGCAGGTTCTGACCTTCCTTTCAAGATTAATACCGGAATAATGTTGAGAATGATAATAATCCTTACATTTGATATCGCGCTTTTCACGTCTTCTGGACGTCTCAAAAGCGCTTCATAGAATATACTGTAAAGTGAATTGACTATATATTTGTGAGTGAAACTCGGCAGCCAATTACGCACAGCAGTGTCCCACAAACAGTTGTGGATTGAGTGACCAAATTATTATTGTTTTTTTCTTGAAGGATTATTATCCCCAGAAAAGCGATCGGCCAATCGACTAACAACCGGGTTCCTACTTACTGCTCGGTAAACATAGGCGCGTGGAGTAAGGAAACTTGCTCCACATTTCGCCCTGCCAGGAATTGAACCCAGGTCTCTCGCTCGCGAGCCGAGTGCTCTAACCACTGAGCTACAGAACTCCACCGTGAAGATATGTACACGATTGCATACACATAGGAATTCACAGGATGTACAGAGGCACACGTAGGAATATAAATTACACGGCACTATTCGAAAAGAGAAGGAAGTTTCTCCCTGTGACCTGGCCAGCAATCCTTCCAGATAAAAAAAACTTCACTTCATAGCTGTTTGTAGGACTGGTTTGCGTAAATTGGCTGTTGTGTTCGCCTACAAAAATGCACAGTCACTGCATTTTACAGTAAATCCTGTTAAACCCTTTGGAAAGCAGCACATTTGAGGCAGCTTCCTGTTGTGAAAGGTGCTATAAAAATGTAAATGGTACTCAGATGTCGTCTCGACTTGAAAGAATTCTCTTATCAAATACAAGGATTATCGTTTTTATTATAAATAGAAATTGTCAAAGGAATACATGCGAATGCACAGCATGGTTAACAGCAACACGGTAGTCTGGATTGATACAAATATAAATATGAAATTACATTTGTACAACGCCTTTCACGACGGGAGGACGGTCCAAGGCGCTGGACAGTTCGGGATTTGGACAGTAATACTCTGTCCAAATGCAACAGCGAAATTCGACTAAGTCTTATCTTTATAAATCGTAAACCGCCTAAGTTGTACATTTACCCGAGTCCCATTCAGTTTCCTATCAAAACCACGTAGATTTCGTTGCACAGGTCAACTCGCATTGAATGGCAGGAAATCTCGTCTTGACCTCTCGTAGACGCATTTACTGGCTGATTAACTTATCCAGAGGCAGTGTAGATTATTGATTAAATCAGATTATCTACGATTTATAGAGCTTAGCTTTAAACTCGGACTTTGCGTAAGGCATATTAAATGTTATGGTCCTGACTGAAATAACTTAGGTGAGCTTTACTATATTTGACGACTGCAACTGAAAACAGGCTGGAAGCCCTAAGCTTAGTTAGCATCTCCATTACAGCTTTATGCTACAGGCAGATAGAATTACACAGAGTGATACGCCATGGAAACAGGCCAATTAATAATAATAATAATAATAATCCTTGCATTTGATATAACGCTTTTCACGTCGGGAGGACGTCCCAAAGCGCTTCACAGAACACACTGTAAAGTGAATTGACTGTATATTTGTGGGCGAACGCGGCAGCCAATTGCGCACAGCAATGTCCCACAAACAGTCGTAGATTGAAAATGACCAATTTATTATTGTTTTTGGTTTTGGAGGGATTATTATTAGGCTCTGTGTGGAGTAAGGAAACTTGCCCAAGGTTTAGTCCTTTTAGTCTGTGCCTGTGTTTATGCTCCAACCCTCCTGTTTCCCTCACCTACACCTTGTACCCGCATTCATTCGTGTAACGCATCAAGTTTCCTCTTAAATGCATTGATGCCCGCTTGTCATCAAAAAGTGATAGCATTGTAGAGCTGGATTTTACCATTAATTCCTGTTCCGTCTCTCTCTCTCTTTGGTGCACTTCACCATCAGGCGTTGACTTTAGCTGTTTACTTTAGATACCAGGGCATATCTTGCTGATCAATAGACTTAGATCTTTCATCCCACGTAGAGAATTTAGCCCACGCCCTCACTCACGCTGCCTCACCCACCCTGATTACCGTGACCAGCACTTGCCTTTTTATCCAAGGGAAAAATAATCAAAAATCTTTTGAACACTTCCTGTCACAGAACTCCACACCTATTCAGTTTCTAGCAGTGAAAGCACTTGTGCGTTCTTGTTGCGCTGTATTGTCCTGGTCAACAATTCCCCCGAAATAAAAATTGGTCATTCACTTCGTGGCTGTTTGTGGGATATTGCTGTGCGCAAACTGCCTGCCGGGTTTGCCCACAAAACACACAGTCACTGCACTTTGCAGTATACCTTGTGAAGCGCTTTGAGACGTCCTCCCGCTGGTTGCTCTGCTCCCAGTCTCGGCTTGTACGTTTGTCTCGTTTGTCTGCCTCCGCTGACCCAATTCCCCCCCCCACCCCAACCCCCTACCAAAATACCCCCACTCCTACTCCCCACCCATCATTACTCCCACTCAGTCCTTCTCTCTTACTGCCCTCCCCATCTTCTCTCTCCTGGACCTTCTCACAGCGTCCCTCGGCTCCAGCCTGGGCAACTTCCTCCGCACTTAGCGATGCATGTCCCAGAGCACCACCCGGACTGCCGCATCACCCACCTGCCCCGCAAAGCCCACCTCCCTCGCCTCCGACAGGGAAACCCCTCCCCCCTTCTCTCATCCATATCCTTCCCAACTCTCCCCACTCATACTTACCAATCTTTCCCCCCCCACCCACAATCTACAACCCCTCCTCTGCCTGCGCCCCCATTTGCATTGGCTTCCAAAATGTCCGCTCCCTCAAAAAAGTTCTCACAATCCACGGCCTCATCCTCGATGAGGAAATAGATACTCTTGGACTCACGCAAACCTGGTTCTCCCCTGGTGAGCCTGTCCCCCTCATTGAAGCCTCCCCGACTGGTTACTCTTCTCACCAAATACCCTACCCCAACCTACATGACAGCGGGGTAGCCCTCATCCCCCAAACCTCCCTTGTTTAATCCCTCTTATTTCTCTGGCTGTTTCCTCTCTTTTGAGCATCTCACCCTTTACCATACCGAGATCCTCTCACGTGTCTTCAAATCCATTCATGCCCTGAACCTCCCTACCTCTCCCATCTGCTTACCCCCCACTCCACCACCTGCTGCCTCTGCTCAGCTGGCTCCGGCCTCCTGTTTGCCCCTCGTCACCTCCGCTCCACCATCAGTGGCCGTGCCTTCAGCCACTACGCCCAAAACTCTGGAACTCTCTCTCTCTCAATCCCTCCGCCTTGCCTCCTCCCTCCCTTCCCACTTTCAAATCCTGCCTAAAGACAACAATAACAACAACAACTTGGATTTATATAGTGTCCTCCACGCCGGACGGCGTCTCAGAGCACTTTACAGTAACGGATCGCGGGGCCGAGCCAAGGGGAGGGGTGCGGGAAGGTGACCAAAGGCGCGGTCGAAAAGAAAGGTCTTCAGCAAAGTTCTGAAAATGGGAAGGGAGGGAGCGAGACGAAGGGAGTGAGGAAGGCATAGCCTCGGGGCATAGTGGCTGAAGGCACGGCCTCCGAGGGTGGAGCGGAGGACTCGGGGGACGAGGAGGAGGTCAGACCCGGAGGAACGAAGGCAACAGGTACTGTGCTGAGGAGAGAGGAGATCAGAGGTCAGGGGGTGCCTTTTTGATCGAAAAGACCTTCCTTTTTGATAGTGCTTGGGGTCACCTCCCACTCCCCCTGGCTCGGTGTCGCACTCTGCCACTGCCAAGCGCTCCGAGACGCTACCCCTTGTGAAGGGCGCTATATAAATGCAAGTCGTTGTTGTTGTCTAACTCGTGAAGTGCTTTGGGACGTCTTTCTATAAAAACATAGCAAATGTGAGGATTATTATTATTTTTATTATACATGCTTGCATCAATTACAACAGGCATATTAATTTGATGGTCTCACAAGATTGGCTTTATGTCAGGGCTCAAAGATAAAATCAAAAGCTCCTCCATTCAGGGCAATGCATTTTTCTATGACTCAGCTTGGGGCAGCCTGTGAAACCAACTTGTCTCATGAGATTCGAGATTCCAGTCCAAAGTTTAGGTTCAAATTATTTTATGGGGCACCAAAGTGTAAATGGTCATTTACCAAAAGCTTTCTCATTTACCACGGTGCTGTTAATATGCTCTCCTGTTCAAAAGTCTGCCTGTGTCCGCCTACAGAATAAACAGTTACTACACTTTACCGTACATCCTGTGCTTCGTCCTGGCCTGAAAGGCACTGTATCAAATGTAAGGGTTACTATTATTTATCAATAACCCTATTGTGCTGTTTGCACTACATTTCAGCAACGTCATAACAACCTTTGTTTGTGCAAATTATTAATCCAGTATTGGGTTATTTGACTACAACACCAGTATCTCAGTGACCTGTAGTTCAATGTTAGCATAAGACTAATGAACTTTCCCCAATATTTTACATATAATAATAATAATCCTTGCATTTGATATAGCGCCTTATCACATCTTTGAGACGTCTCAAAGCGCTTCACAGAATATAATAATAATAATCCTTGCATTTGATATAGCGCTTTTCACGTCTTCTAGACGTCCCAAAGCGCTTCACAGAATATACTGTAAAGTGTAGTGACTGTGTGTTTTGTGGAGGAACGGGGCAGCCAATTGCTTACAGCAGTGTCCCACAAACAGTCGTGGATTGAATGATCAAATTATTATGAATTTTTTGGAGGGATTATTACCCACGGAAAGCGATCTGACAATCGACTAACAATGGGGTTCCTACTTACTGCTCGGTAAACACAGGCATATGGAGTAAGGAAACTTGCCCAAGGTTTCACCCTGACCGGGACTCGAACCCAGGTCCTCTTAGTGCTCTAATCACTAAGCTACAGGACGCCATAAAAATATTCCTTGCATTTTATTATTATTGCACGTATGTCTAAGAAGCTTGGTGATGATCAGGAGGATAAAGATTAGCGAGAGACAGAGAGAGAGAGAGAGAGAGACAGTGTTCGTCACCAGTACTAACTTGTTTCACATTGACAGACAAATATGCCATTGTTGGGCTGGTGTGTGGTGTGCAGATTAGTGTCAGTGGCAGCTGAGGGTAAGAGCGAAGCACAATAGCAAGCAGGTCAGAACAGAGCAGGAAATCTAATAGTCACAGAGGTGCGGATTCCCGAGCAGGAACTGCAGGAATTAAAACAAACACAGCGGGAGAGAGTGAGAGCCACACCTGGAGAGGGAGGGAGGGGTGGGGCGAGAGGAAAGTCCGATGAAAATCAAAAGCTTGACTTTTTGCTGCTGTTTGATTTAATTTCATCCTTCCCGACGTGATGTCTCCCACCGACAGCTCAGAGGCATTGGTCTGTTCCTTGTCCCTTGCATGATCTGTCCCACCATCAGAGCGCCAGTTTTCAGCCACTCTGCCCCCACTCTCTGGCATCCTGTCCCACGGCCTCACCCCCTCTCTCCGCACTTTTAAAGCCCACCTCAAGTCCGATCTCCTTGACTGTGTTTCAAATCCCACTTGCAGACCTTCCTTTTTGACCGTGCGTACGGTTTACCTCCCCCCTTCCTCTCCACCTGGCTCGGGGGTCAGACTCCACCACTGTCAAGTGCTCCGGGAGGATACCCCGCATGAAGGGCAAGTTGTTGTTGTTCTCAGGTATTTTTCTCTCCTCCCTCACTTCAGCTCAACAACTCCCTCTCCCCTCACCCACCAGCTCGGGTCAGCTGTGCGAATGCTTTGAGATGCCCTCTCAGTGTGAAAGGCTACGAGAAAGTCATCACGCTATTCCAGACAGCAACTCCATAAGAGTCGTCATCAATATTGATAACATTTATGGCACTCCACCCTCACTGTAAAGCTGCTGTCTCTCAATGTAAAGCTCCTGGACTTTGGTTCGTGACATTTTCATGTGAAGATACACTCGATTTTAGGGGAGTAACTGTAGCTCGCAAACCATTGCCTCCTTTTAACACATAAAATGATTTGCTACAGAGAACGGTCAAACACAACTCACACCATCCACATCCGCCACTGGGAAAACTAAAAGGAGGGCTGTTTCTGTGACATGTTCCACAAAATGATTTTGTCAGTGGCTAAAAATGGACTGAACAGCCCTAGAGCGGGGCGTTTCTGTGGGGCAAGGAGCGTGAAATGAAGTACTACGCCTAACAATCTCCCATCTGCTGTAAATTATATCTTGTTGTGCTCCCGTTCATTTACTTTTGTTATTGAATTGCCCAGCAATTACTGTGGGTCCTGGAGAAACCAGTGATAGTGTGCGGACCCGATGGAATGGTTTGTAAGCAGCTGCTTGCAGTGAAGGGTTTTAAGGGTGACACTTATATTTGGCTCGTAGGTGATAAATTATCACTTCAAACACTGCAGTTCCACTCCCCTCAGTTTGTCTCAAAGTCCGATTGCACATTTAATCTCATACTTTCATAGCCCGTGACTGACTGAAGATGACGAACACAAAGTTGCTATACTTTACAGTAAATCCTGTAAAGCGCTTTGAGAAGTCCTTTGGATATCTCAGTAAAGGCGCTGTATCAAAATACAAGGATTATTATTGTTATTACTACTACTACTAATAACAAGCAGTTCAGTGAATGAATACCATCATCAGTCTTGGCTTTGATTAGTGTAACATACTCTGTCCCTTTGAGAAGCCTTGAAAAACCTTCTTACTGATATACGCGCAAGTTGCAGCTGACGTTTGCACTTTGTATTGCACTGTGCAAACAGTTGGTGAGCAGATAGTTTGCATCTCCAAGATCTTGCCCAACTTTACCTCTGTGACCTTCTTAACTGCCCGCTTCCTCCGCTCAGCAAACACTAGCCTGCTTCGTGCCCTGCCCTCCCCTTCAACGGAACTCCATCCCGGAGTCCCTTCGCCTCTCCTTCATTCATCTTACCCACCCCCTACACCCCCACCCCTACCCCCAAACCTTCCTTGCTCCCACCTTTCCTGAATCCAATCCCCAGCTCAGATGCAAACCCTCGACTGGCCAAAGCCTTGGGACGTCCTCCTGACATGAAAGGCGTTACATGAACGCAGTTTGTTGTTGTTATTTTCATGATAAATGCGCAGTGCAAGCTTGCTGCAACAAGTCCTGGGGAGCATTTGTTTTTTTTTGCAAAGATGACTTTCTTGCTTCCAAGCAGGGCAGAGAGATCAGCGGCAACATAGACAGAGAGATCATCAGCGGCAACACAGACAGAGAGATCAGCAGCAACGCAGCTAGAGAGACCAGCAGCAATGCAGACAGAAAGACCAGCAGCAACGCAGCAAGAGAGACCAGCAGCAACGCAGCAAGAGAGACCAGCAGCAACGCAGCTGGAGAGACCAGCAGCAATGCAGATGGAAAGACCAGCAGCAATGCAGCAAGAGAGACCAGCAGCAACGCAGCTAGAGAGACCAGCAGCAACACAGCTGGAGAGACCAGCAGCATTGCAGATGGAAAGACCAGCAGCAAAGCAGCTAGAGAGACCAGCAGCAATGCAGACAGAAAGACCAGCAGCAACTCAGACAGAAAGACCAGCAGCAATGCAGATGGCAGACGAAACGATTCCACTTCTGAAAGCTCCTCCCCTCTCAGCCCCTCTCACACCACACGGGTCTTTATAAGGTAAGGACGCTGCCGCAGTTTGGAACTATTTCACGTTGTTGCGTGTTGTAGGAGCAAAATTAGAATCATCGAGATTTCCAGCCTAGAAAGAGGCCATTCAGAACAAGCTGTATATTCAATTCTAGTGCCCTGCCTTATCCCTTGATTGATTGATTGATTGATTGATTGATTGATTGATTGATTGATTGATTGATTGATTGATTCACTCACTCACTCACTCACTCACTCACTCACTCACTCACCCACCCTTCAGAGTACGGTAACTGTTACCCTCGGTTGTTATTTTCCGTTAAACTACTTCAAATACCAAACCAAACCATGACACTGGTCGGGTTCAATTGAATTATTGAGCATTGCTCAATAGTATGTTCATTCTGAATTGTTTGTGGAATCCTGTAGAGTATTGGTTGGAGCACTCACCTCGCAAGCCAGAGGACCTGAGTTCGATTCCCGGCCAAATTTCCTTACTCCGCATGCCTCCAATTACCTAGCAGTAAGTAGGAACCAATCCAGTTGCCAGTCGATTGGTGGATCGCTTTCTGGTGGTAATAATCCCTTCCAAAATATAACAATAATAATTTGGTCTCTCAATCCTCGACTGTATGTTGGACACTGCTGTGCGCAATTGGCTGCCGAGTGTCTCCCACAAAACATACAGTCAATTCACTTTACAGCCTATTCTGTGAAGCGCTTTGAGACCTCCAGAAGACATGATAAGGCGATATATCAAATGCGAGGATTATTATTATTATTATCCTGTGAAGCATTTCAGATTTAGGATCGTGCGAGATTGTAGAAAACGTTTAAATGCATTTTCAGTGTAGAGGCAGGTCTTCTGAGGTCTTTTTAAAAAAAAATTAACTGGATTCCCGAATTGTATCCGCATTTAAAATTTTCCACAAATTCGGCGTGATTTTATATTTTAAGACTCGGCAGTCAGATGGATGAAGACTAGGTAGAATTCCGGGATCTGTTTCAAAATCAAAATCACTTCCGTTAAATGCTATTTAATTTTGTCATCCGCGTCCCTAAAAAAAAATTCTAGGTTCTCATCCTCATGTTAGTCAGCAGTCTTAAAAGGAACTTCACATACAATTTCTCTTGAGAATATCAATTTGGGTGACTTATTTTAATTGAGCCTTGTGACATTTTATCTGTGGATGGTAAAATTAAACGTACGTGCTAGTCTGTGGATCAACTAGTGGGTGACTGGTTGAATAGAGTCTTTGATGGAATGTGAAGCCCTGACTTGACCTCTCTGTCCCTATAACCAGCCTTTTGCTTGCCCAGCTGCCTGCCCTCCTTGCTCTCCTCTTTGCTGGGGCAGCTTGCCTCACAAATATCGATGCATCATTTTATAGGAACTTGAAGCATTCAGTCCGGCCCTGCTCATCCAGCGGGTTTCGATTACCGAGCCATCACTGAGGCCAACCGATAATAAAAAAACGGATCATTCACTTTTCTGGCTGTTTGTCAGACGTTGCTTTGCGCAAATTGGCTGCAGCGTTCACCTGCGAAACACGATCGTTACACTTCAGAGTAAATGCTAGCCTCCGTTCACTGAGCAAAATCACAAACTGTAGCGTATTGGTCAGAGCACTCACCTCGCAAGGAAGAGGACCTGAGTTCAATTCCCGGGTGGACAAAAAAAAATGTGGTCACTCAATCCACGACTGTTTGGGGGACACTGCTATGCACCTCGGGACATCCTCCCGATGTGAAAGGCACAATTTAAATGCAATTTGTTGTTGTTTTTGTGCACAATTGACCTCCGCGTTTCGCCCACAAAATACACAGTCAATCTCACTTCACAGTATGTTCTGTGAGGCGCTTTGAGACATCTCACTGACATAATAAGGTGCTGTATCAAATGCAAGGGTAATTATTATTTTTTTATTATTATCCTGTGAAGCTCTTTGAGACATTCTCCCAATGTGAAAGGCGCTGTATCCAATACAAGGATTAGCAAACCAAAACAATCTATACGGATTTGACTTTACTGTGTTTTTTTTTGTGTGGATCATTCCTGCAGTAGCTCGATGCTGACCATGCAACATTTTCTTAACTCTTTTAATACATACTTTCACTGAATGTTTCTCTTTGCGTGTTGTCTACTCACAGTTTAGGAAAACCCAAGGAGCCAATGAGCCCCAAAGTGACCAGCCCAGTGGAGAAGGAGCGAAAATTCACCAAACAGCCTTCTGTCGAACCTTTCAATTGTCAGGCAGGAGGGGCAGAGATGAGCAAAAGTCAGAGCGAAGAGCATCCGAAAGAGGGTGAGGAGACGAGACAAGGGCACGTTAAGAGAACAAGAATCAACAGAGTAAGAACACAGGTAAAGACAATCATTTGCAGTGTTTTGTAATGCGTTCCTTATGTTATGAAATGTCAAAAAAAATCCCTCAATAACACTGATTATCTCAGAAGCAGAACCCAACAGCATGGGGTTTGGTGGTGAGGTCGTTTGCTGTGATAATTATCAGTTTGAATCTATTGTGAAACATCACATTTTTCAACCCAATACTGAGGAAAGCTCCATCTGTAGAACCCACCACCGCTTAACCCTCTACCTACTCGATTACCTTTCCTCCGTCCCGTGCTCACTTGTGTCACAATGATCTATCCACCCTCCGGTACCCTGCCCTCACCCTTCAAAACCATTGTCGTCACTCCTCGCCTCAAACAAAAATCACCTTCGACCCCTCCAGACTTATCAATGACCTCTCCACCCTCAATCTGCCTTTTCCCCGTCAAAGTATTGGAACACATCCTCAGTTGCACCCGATCTTTCCCCTTCTGTTTGAGATCTTCCCAGCTGTTTTTGGACTCCAGTAACATCCTCTCAATGACACAAGTGGTGTGTGTTTCCTTCGGGTATTAGGACGTGACCTACACGCCATTGTAAATCATAAGCGTTCCAAAAAGGGGAGCAATAATGTGAAGAAAAGTGCTCCACTCCAGGCTTTTATTGCTAACACTACCCTCAATGTCGAAAATCCATTCTCAAGAGCAATCTAAGGACTCAAGTTAAGGGTTTTTAATACCTGCTTCGTCCTTTGATGAGATATTAAACCGAGGTCCTGTCTGCCTATTCGGGTGGTCGGTAAAGATCCTATGTCAATGAAAAGAGAAGCGAGTTTCTCTTGGTGTCCTGGTCAACAATCTCCCAGATATAAAATGGGTCATTCGCGTCTAACTGTGAGATATTGCTGTGTGCAATTCAACTGCTGCATTCGCCTATGAATATACGGTCACTACATTTTGTAATAACTCCTGTAAAGCGCAAAACAAAGAAAGAACAATCAGTTCAATAAAAGCTATTAATCGTGACAATAGCGCTTGCAATGGATGCGGAGTCTTTCACGTCGGGAGGATGTCTGTCTCGAAGCACTTCACATGGTTCGCTGTGATGTGTAGTGACAGTGTAGTGTGTAGGTGGTTTCATGGTAAATGTGTTATTTCAGGATGAAAAACAAGTTTCAAGTACAGTCACACACGTGCAGTTTCTGCAGAAAGAATCAGAAGACGTTGATGGCTGTTCAAACAATGTCCCCTTCCTACGTGGATCTTCAAGGGCTATATCTTTCAGAGTAAGTGCGACTGCGTCTCCTTTCTGGTGATTGCAACGAGGCTTGTACTAGTGTTAAAGGAGCAATTTTAGTTCATTTTAATGGTCTTGTTGTGTTCCACGCTTGTATTTTTGTTGTGCAGCAGTCTATCACTTGCCGACTGACGGAAAAGGGGAATTGGGATTTCAAACCAAAAGTCTGTTTGCTTAAAGATTTCTCTTTTGTTAGATGGTGAAACCAGAACCACCAAACCAGTCACTCCAGAGAAGGTCGGTATCCTCCTATAACATTATTAATAAGATCTAGTATAAGCCAATGCATTGAGTCAACTATTGTCAGTGGCAACTATTATATAGCGCTCCTTTCACTTTGGGGAGGTTCTCACGCAGCTGACTGGCAGTTTGTACACAATAGAGGGCGGTGAGCAGAGGGAGTCCAGGATGGGATCCCAGCAAATGGGACACGTGAAACAGATGTTTGATGAGAGTGCAGAGAGCATCCGGGGCAGTAGGGTCAGTAGAGGGAGCAGTGGTAAGGTGGGGCGAGTGGTAAGGAAGGAGGCTTTTGAAATTGAGGATGAGGATCTTGAAGAGACATTGATATACACAGATGCTGATTGCTTATGGTTCTACTCCGCAGTGCGAGTATGAGGATTTCATCCAAGGGAGTTTCAACAAACAAAGACAGAGTTGACCAGTACGTCAAGGCAATCCAGGTGAGAAACAATGTTCCTTAGAATTGCACAGAGCCTTACACTCCAATCAAGCAGCGAGAGTCAAGACACCCAGCATCAAAAAAACACCCAAATCGAGAAGAAAAGATCAAATTTACATTTGGTGTTAATGATAATCTTTGCATTTCATATAGCGCCTTATCACGTCTTCGAGTCGTTTCACAGAATATACTGTAAAGTGAATTGACTGTATATTTTGTGAGGGAAAGGGGCTGCTAATTGCACACAGCAGTGTCCCATATAAGCAGCAATACGGCCACCTATGAAAATGTCTCGTGCAGTGCAGAAATTATACATTTGTGTTGGTGAACAGAAGTTAATTTCAATTTTCTTTTTTCAGAAGAGTGGCAGCCTTAAATCCAAGACTGAATCTGCTAAATATTTGCCTTGTCCATTAGAGGGCATTGCAAGCAAGCGAAATATGTTTGAGAAGGAGAATAGCCAAGACAGAGGCAATTGGAGCCCATCAATGAAGAAGGTATAGTTATATTCTACTATGGGGCTGAAGCGGGCACTTCTTGAGCATTCAATGTGAAAATCACCGCTCTGCGATACTTGTCTTCGTCACTCATTATCAAAAGGACAGATTTTATAATTATTATAATCATAATCATGCTTGCACTTGATATAGCGCCTTAGCACATCATTGAAATGTCTGAGTGCACCTCACAGGATTGTTTTTACTGTGGATTAACTGTACTTTATAGGCGATTTACTTTGGTTTGTTTGGTGCCTTAACTTTACATCTTTTGTTGCGACTTCTTTATGTTTTAATATTAATTAAAACTAACGGAGGGAAGTGAAATCAGCGCTCTCCCCTCGCGGTTGTTGGGTTTAGACTGTGGAGAGATAGGCCACTCTGTGGGAGGAAGTTGCTGCCACCGAGAGGTCATGTTGTGCTACACTCGGAATCAAAGCAAATTTTGTCCTTGTGATGATTGGCAACAGTGATTGCGATTACACAGCGTAAAATACCACATTGAATGCTTAGCAAGGCGTAACTTTCACCTCTAGCTTTCACCTCAAGATGGCAGCAACTCCCTCCCACAGAGTGGCCTATCTCTCCACAGTCGAAACCCAACAACAGCGAGGGGAGAGCGCTGATTTCACTTCCCTCCGTTAGTTTTAATCAATATTAAACATCAAAAAGTATTGATTTTGAGATAGATGCAAAGTTGCTTACAAACACGCCTGTACAACTACGTAACAGGAATAATCCTGGCACGAGTGATTGAGACATTGATATCACGAGTGACTAATATCATTTATGTAAGTGAACATGTCTATGTTCTAGCTTGATGCTCTATCAGCTTGTCTGACAGACATCAGGGCCTGGATGAGCGTAAACTTCCTACAACTGAATATGGATAAGACAGAAGCCATACTCCTTGGCTCCCGTCAACGTCTTCGCTCCTGCGGATCTAAATTCCTCAAACTCCCTGGGCTCTCCTTCAGATCCACCGCAATCTAGTGCGCAATCTAGGCATCCGGTTCGACACACAACTGCCCTTCCTCCACCACATCCGATCCCTGACCAGGACCGCTTTCTTCGACCTCCACCACATTGCCCGCCTCCGACCTTACCTTACCCCAAATACAGTCGAAACCCTCGTGCATGCGTTTGTTCACCTTCCGCTTAGATTACTCCAACGCACTCCTCGCCGGTCTCCCCAGCTCCACCGTTCACAAGATCCAGCTCATTCAAAACTCTGCCGCCCGCATACTGACCCGGAACAAACTCTGTACCCACATCTCACCAGTTCTGACCAGGCTCTGCTGACTCCCCATCACCGAATGGATTGACTTCAGGATCTTCGCGCTCGTGTTCAAATCCATTCACTCCCTGGCACTACCCGGTGTTTCCGCTCGACTGGCACAGGCCTCCTGCTTGTCCCTCACACCCTCCGCCCCACCATCGGAGGTCGTGCTTCCAGCCTCTACGCCCAAAAGTTCTGGAACACTCAATCCCTCTGCCTTGTCCCCTCTCTCCCCTCTTTCAAGACCCGCCTGAAAACTTTCCTCTTCGACCGTGCTTAAGGCCACCGCCTCCCCCCCGACTCAAAGTCAGGCTCCGCCACTGTTAAACACACTAAGATGCACCCTGCATGGAGGACACTATATAAGGGCAAGTTGTTGTTGTTGTTATCAAGTTTGGCTTAGTATTAAATTCCCTGCTTTTCTCTTGTGGTAGATACAGTTTTAGGGATGATCAAACATTCATAATTTGGATAAGAATGGATAGAAATATTCCTTCCTTTCATTTGAGGCTTCTTTGAAGTTTTCCCACTGTTGGGGCTTTTCCTGTTTCACGTGCTGTAATGAATTTCAGTTGACTTCATGCGGTTTGAGCCACACACAGGTCTGAGCTTGTACTGATGCTGCATCAAATAGCAAAAGCATGAGCACTGCTTTCATTCCTGAACTCAGTGAGATCGATGTTTGATCTCTTTAAGTCGATCTAAAGAGAGTCTGAATTAGGTTCATTTCAGATGGTCTTCAGACAAACCTTTAACAACAACAAAACAACAACAACGAATGATACTGGATTAGTGCCTTTCACGTCGGGAGGACGTCCCAAGGCTCTGGGATGTCTTCCAACTTAAAAAGTGCAATATAAATGTAATTTGTTGTTGCAGCTGTCATTGATTGGAGGCCAATCGATTTAACGTAGCCAGCAAATGAGAATTAGTATAGTTGTTAATGTAACAGTGCCCTGCCTGGGAGTAGTGTTTGAAGCAGAATTCATATTGGCTTTGAAAACGGAACTAGACAGATATCTAAAATGGAATCAACTAAAGGGAGTTTGGGACTGAAAGGATTGCTCTTTAAAAGAGCCAGCACAGACACGATGGCCCGAATGGCTTTCTTGTGTACTGTAAATATCTATGAGTTGATGGTACAAACCAATGCACATTGACAGGAGGGTGAGGTAGCTCTCTGGGCTGGCAGTTGTTGAGAGTGACGACGATCTGTGCTTGAAGGCATTTATAATTGCTGTTTTCTTTGCACTGTTTTCATTTTAAGTCCTTCTTCGGTGACCGCCAGTGTAGCTGGGACACCTTGTTGGTGGCTACATTGACAGAATATGGATCTGGTGTCATTATTCCAAGCCTTCGGTTCTCTATTAGAGATTAGTGTGACCTCTGGGTGCGTTTATGTCGTTCAGTTTGTTGGCAGGGGCAGGGAGGGTGGCAATCAACTGAGTGACTACCTTGTCTCGGTCTCTTTTACTTTCAGTGAACTAAGTGCAGATGAAGCCCATCAGTAATCCTATATGACAGTTTCATTCACAGTCAGGGACAGAGATAAGAAATAGCAACACTGGGAGCCACATAATGACCACACCTCCTTACTGAGAACTTTACTGCAAAGTTCCACGCCTTCACTCTTCACTCCCTTGCCCCCCTTTTTCCGTTCCCTTTTCCTCCCATGTCCTTTCCTACTAAGACCTGTTTCTCTAATAATTACACAGAATGGTACGGCACGGAAACAGGCCATTTGGCCCAACCAGTTTATGCCGGTAAATTGGGGAGCCCCTGCGGGATTGTGGCAATGAGGTGTCTGGAGGATAGACTCTACTGTTTTGAAGAGCTTCTATATTTAATTGTATTTTCTGCTGGTCTTCCTCACCTCAGAGTCTTGCTTCAGGTGCACATCACTATAGAATGCCAAATAATGTGGGCTGTTTATCATGTCCGCATGTTCCTCTCTCTCAGTTACCACATTGTAAGCTCGCTTTCATTCTTGCTTTACGATTTCTCTTACCCTTTGCCCTCCTTCTTGCTTTTGGCCCTCTGCAGAATTTTCTCTAGCTGGGATCCTTCCGCTGTTCAACCGCACGGTATGTTGCATCCGCCACGGCTTCTCAACATTTCTACACACACACAACTCCTTCCAGCTCAGTATATCATCTATGGCCATTCCGATACCCAGCAGTGGGTTCTAAAAGAATCTGGCCTCTGGTCTATACTTTCAGCAGTATCTGTCTCCTAGGCTCCTTCATTCCTTTCTCCTCAACCCCATACTGTACCTCTACCACTCCATCAATTCTATCACACGTTCAAAATACATTCCGCCCACAGCAACACATTTCTTTACTCCTTCAGTGCAGCCCATTTCATCAGACACAGAACTTGCCATGCATTGTACCTTCATTCACCTCCTCAACACAATTAACATCTGCTTTCTTTACAATAAGAACAATCAGACCTGGGATCCAAAGCCTTAACTGTATTCCTTTATGTTCCCTTTCAGCACTTTGGGACATCCTCCTGACGCGAAAGGCGCTCTATAAATGTAATTTTGTTGTTGTTGTTGTTATGGAGATTGTGACTGTGGCTCACATGATTATGGCTAAAGACTATGTTGATTTGCCTTTCCAGGATATCAGACCAGGAGACGTAGCTAGCAAACGTAATCTATGGGAGAACAGAGCTGATTCTGTCGATAAGGTAATAAAATATGTGTTTCTAGCAGTTTACTTATGTTTTCCAGAATTCACAGGTTTACATTTTTAACTTTTTCCGAGTTTCTGCTCAGCAAGTCTGTCTGCACTTAACAGGATTGCAATTGTGACTAATAGGTACTGCGAAACTGTATGTTATTAAGTGAACATGTGCCATTATAACAGGTACATTACATCACAAGATCAATTCAGATGGAGAAGGCCCACAATGTTCTTGCCATGCAATGACCTCTTTGTTTCGCCCACAAAATGTACAGTCAATTCACTTTACAGTATATTCTGTGAAGCACTTTGAGACGTTTCAAAGACGTGATGAGGTGCTATATCAAATGCAAGGATTAGTAATTATTATTATTATTGTCCTCATCCTTCCAGAATACCCACCCTACCATCCTGTCACAGAACCGAGCTAATTTTTAAACAAGTCCAGGTTCCTGACCCCAACCACCTTCTTGGTAATCTGTTCCTGTCAAACTTCCAAAACATTTCTACGAACCTAAATCTTGAGGCTAAGACCAATGATACATTTTGTTTGTGGCCTTTGGTTGCTGGTTCATGGTTTTCTTGGTATTGACCCTGGATACTCAGCCAGATTGTGAGCTTGGTTCTGCAGGACTAGGAATATTGTCTGGCTTCACTTCAAAGGCCTTTGTCATCCTCTGCGTAGATTGGAAATTCCCAGCACTTTAGAACTTGTTCGAACAGCCTTGGCTGTTGCCAATGGCTACATATCCCACTAACACATCCCACTGCACTTTATGTAAAATATACAGAGGGCAGATGATTTCCTAACAATGCTCTCTATTTAGGTCTTCATGCTGCACTGGATACAATTGAAAGTTTTATTATATTTGACTAAAATAAAGAGCGCGTTGTGAATGAAGCGAGGATAGAACCCATAACCTTTGGGTTGCTAGTCCAGTAAGATTGTCATTGCTATAGCAGTTCTGTAGCTTAATGGTTAGAGCACTCGCCTTGCAAGCGAGAAGACTTGGTTTTGATTCCCGGGGGGTGGGGATGCAAACCTTAGACAGTTCTGTTTGTGGACTCTGTTTGTGTCATCCAGTTATGAGATGCAATGTTAGCAAACTGCGAAGGACGTCTGGAAATCTTCCTAACATCGACGTGGACAACTTCAACTGCAGATTGAAAGCCCCTCAATTGGAAAGAGGAGAACTCAGTAAATGCTTGTAGTAAAGTTTTTAATAAGTAGGTGTGGTCAATTTGCCTCTGGAAAGGGAGTACTCCACTGCTACAATTTCCATAAAACAGCTTTTCGCCCTAAATCGTCATTTAATTTTTCTCACGTCAAATCTGCAGATGTATATAAGCCATGGGCAATCGTTCAGTCTGTGTGGTAAGCACAGGATTGCTTGGTCTCGCCAGTGGTGCATCCCAGAAAAAGAATCATAAAGGGTGGCTCAGAAAAGCCACCTCACGCTCTAACTTATCCCATTCCCAAAGCTCAGCAGGTTGCGGTCCTAATATTAGAGTTCCTAGATTAGAGAAACATCAGAAATCTGTCAGTAACAAACAACAGCATTGCTTCTGCTATTGCCAATAGGACATGCCCAACCTTGTACCTGCGACAGTGAAATACAAGGGAAAATTAAATGTTTAGATAATTAACTAGAAGTCGTGGGCTTGCGACAGAGAGAGCTCAACTTGGAGTTTCAAGTGAAGGATTGTTAACCAGTGTTTATATCTAGGGAAAGGTGAGAAGTTCTACCTGGATCTAGATTCACTCGATTTCCACAGTATTTCAGAGCATCCAGAATAGAACAAAATTGTTGTGTAACGTCTCAATTGGCAGCTGGTTTTGCTGTAGTTCTTAAAAGAACTTAAAAGAAAACCGGCTTCAAAACTAAGGCTGCATTGAAGAATTTGTTAAATTCTGGTCGCTCGGAAAGGTTATATAAATAGAGTAAAGCTAGTTTGTGCCTTAGGAAAGCAACAGCATATGAAGCAGTGACACACACAGATGATGATTGTGGAGTCCTGTAGCTCAGTGGTTAGAGCACTCGCTTTGCAAGCGAGAGATCTGTGTTCGATTTCCCGGCAGGGTGAAACCTTGGGAAAGTTTCCTTACTCCGCACGCCTGATAATTATCCCTCAAAAAAAAATAATAAATTGGTCATTTCAATCCACGGCTGTTTGTGGGACACCGCTTGTGCGCAATTGGCTGCCGCATTTCGCCCGCAATTCACTTTACAGTCTGTTCCGTGAAGCGCTTTGAGACATCTAGAAGACGTGAAAAGCGCTATATCAAATGCAAGGATTATTATTATGCTTTGGGCCGTTTTACGCAACACAATCTTTTGTGATCTTTGGGTAAACACAAACCAGTCAAAAGTCTATTGCTCTTTATTATCACAGAAGCTTTTGACTGACTTTACGAGACAGACGCATCAATAATTTGTTATTTGAGTCACTGATCGCTGATGATTCATTCACCACCCTGAGAAGTTTGCTGTTTCCTGAAGCAGGAAACAAAAGAAGCACCTGGGTGATAGCTTTCTCACCTCAGCCAACTTCAATGAATGAGTAACATTGGTGTTTTATTACATAATAACAATTTGATACCATGTCTTTCACATCAGGAGGAGGATGTCTTAAAATGCTTCACTTGATTCACCGTAGTGTATAATTTGTACATGGGACAGGGTGAGAACGTGCAATAAAGTCCCAGTTAGGTTGAGTTAGGTTGAGGGGCTGATTACAACAACAACAACAACAACAAAATTACATTAGTACAGCGCCTTTCATGTCGGGAGGACGTCCCGAGGCTCTGGACAGAGAATCTCGTGCTCCAGCGAGGCGATTAATAACGGGGGCACTCTTTATCACTTCGGAATTGCTGAAAGATATGTACAACGTATTTAGCACCAACCTAACCGGAAGCTTTTCTTTCTTTCTTATAAACCAGGGATGTTTGAATCAACACTTTTCTCCTTTCAGAACAAGTAGCAATCAAAGTATGAAAAAAATGCAATCAAAGTATGAAAATAAATGCCGGCATAGACCAGTTGGGTCGAATGGCCTGTTTCTGTGCTGTATGTTCTGTGTAACTCACCTTTGCAATCCAATCACGTAAGGAAGGAAAATCGTTGCCACTCGCTAAGCAGCTGCAAACCTTCTATTATTTCCAAGCTCTGATACTGATCTGCTTTTTTTTCTGCTTGTCCCCAGAACTAGTGGACGGAAATGAAAAGGATCTCACAGATCATGATTCGAGCTGATTTCAGATGATATGATTATTTTATACGTAAATGACGTTCCACAAGTGCGATCAGGCTACACTGTTCAGCAAGAGAACAGTTGCAGGAACAGAATGTAGTTTGCTACTAAAATTCAAGTGCTTTCTTGACTGTAGTTTAAGATATAAATCAAAGGTTTTATGCTGATTCAAATCGAATTTCAATTTCAGCCAGAAATAAAAGCCAAAAAAAGGGCAAATAAACAATGGGGTCTGAACCTGTAATATACGTAACTAAAATTTTACACTTTTGTATGTTGAAGAACTTAATCTCATTTCACTTCTTGGCAAATAGCTTCTGATAAATAAACTAAATGAATAAATGCCGTCTTGTCCTCCAATGTCTGAGTGTTAAACTGTGATTTCTTTCGATTGTATTGCAGCTTGTAAGGAAAGCATTTTGTCAATCAAAATATTTTATATGGTTGTATTGCTCAATACAAATTTATCAACACGAAACCGCTTAAAGGCTGACCGCAATAATAATATCCTGCATTTGGTTTGGTGCCTTTCATACCAGGAGGACATCTCAAAGTGCTTCACGGGATGTACTGTAAAGTGTAGTGACTGTGCACTTTGTAAATGAAAATAAACTAGCCTTCTTGTTCTGTTTATTTCTTGTTCTGTTTATTTGCACTTGTATGTCGATCATGTTTTTGATGGAGTCGATCATTTTATGTTCTGTTTGTTTTGTGTTTTCAGCCAAACTTTAAATAATGCTCTTTCTCTCATTGTTACAACAACAACAAATTGCATTTGTACGGCGCCTTTCACGTCGGGAGGAAGTCTCAAAGCACTGGGACTTAGATTGAAGTGCCAAAAAATGTCAGCTATCATTGGGCAACCTTATACTGAACGCTGGTTTTATAAATAGATGAACAATGCTGGGTCTCATTTATTTTGAACACCTATTTTCTTTTCTTTAATTCCACCAGAGTGAGAATCATGCGTTTGATGCCAGTGGCTCTAACAGTAGTCACGTTCCTCCAGTCAATTTGTTTTCAAAGCAACAATCCGTTCTTTCCTCTCCCAGATTAACAGCGGCTGCCGTTGCTTTTGACGGGGAGACATTAAACTGCTCTGAAAGGTGATAACAGAAAGGGCTGGGTCTGTTGCCAAAAATAAAGGCAGCTGTTGCTCTCTTGACAGCATCTGTTCTTCAGCGAGCTCTTAGCAGTTCCCCTTTAGTGACTCAACATTTTACTTCATACTAAATTTACCCCAATGTCAGGCAGAATGTGCATTTGGATAATGCTGTTTGTCTGTTGCTGATGCTGACCTTCTGTTAAAAGTCCAATCCAAACAAATCACGGTAACACGTTCCTGCCTGATTTCTGAGGTCTAGGCGGTCGCTAACGCATGCGAAAAAAGTTGCCGACTGCGCTTGGCAGATTCAAGACATTGCTGTGCACCAAATTGGCTGCGATAGGGAGGTGCTGAAGGGGATACAGGTCAACACCACAAACATTTCACGGAGTGTCTTAGAGAAACCTTTATCACATCAACAGAAAATGAGCGATGAGCTGATTCACAAGATCACATAATTATTTTGGATGAAGTAGACCCTTTGGCCCATTCGATCTCATTCTTTCAGAACTTCCACCCTACCATTCACCCCATCACAATAACAACAAATTACATTTGTATAGCACCTTTCACATACGGAGGATGTAATTTGGACCCGAGCTGGGGGTTGGGATCAGGAGGGGGACAGGGAGGGTCGGGGTAGGAGGGTGACCGAACTCTCGGTTGAAGAGGAGGGTCTTGAAGGAGATAAGGGATGAAACGAGTCGAAGGGACTGTAGAATGGAGTTCCAAAGAGTGAGGGCAGAAAGGCTGAAGGCCCAACCGCAGATGGTGGGGCAGTCCGGGTGGGGGACATGGAGCAGGCTGGAGCCTAATAAGCGGAGGGAACAGACAGATCATCACAGCATCAAACTGCTTTTAAACGAGTCCAGTGTCCTGGTCTCAATCACCTTTCCTGGCAACCTGTTCTGATCATTGGAACAACGGTAATCCCTCTGAGTAAAGAGCAGACAAAGAGATTTCTTCACAGTTCAAATTTAAACAATAAATTTACTGACAACTTTCCACTTGTTTCTGACAGGTCTGCTCAGGGTGAATTGCCTGAATGTCACAGGAACACAGGAACATAGGAACAGGAGGAGGCCATTCAGCCCTTCGAGCCTGTTCTGCCATTTAATTAGATCATGGCTGATCTGTACCTCAACTAATCTTTTCAATTCCAATTTTCCACTTTCTCCCCATATCCCTTATTACCCTGACCTACCAAAAATCTATCATCCTCACTCTTGAAGGTGTGGATGGATCCAGCATCCACGGCCTTTTGGAGGAGAGAATTCCGGATTTCTACCACGCTTTGAGGGAAGAAATGCTTCCTAACTTCACTCTTAAATGGCCTGGTTCTAATTTTAAGACTGCCCCCTTTTTATTCCTTCATCTAACCCTAACCCTATGGCGAAAATCATCCCTACAGTAACAATATTATTGTTTGCTTTATTGTACTCTGACCTTCCACAGTAACAGCAGCACTAAAGAACAGAAGATAAAGAAGTTACATGAGAAACGATAATCCTCGAATTAGGGGCGTTTTCAAAATGTTTACCTAAGTGCTATATCACTGCAATTTTGCAGATGGTTTATAGAGATAATGCATAGAGTATGTGGAAGGGAAAGTCCTCTGGAGTCATAACAAACCAGTCATTTTCTTCTATTAACTTGCAAATCACACTATGGTCACTACACTTTACAGTGATTCCTGTGAAGCTCTTTGTGACATTCTCCCCACATGAAAGGTGCCGCGTTCACCCACAAATATACAGTCAATTCACTTTACAGTGTGTTCTGTGAAGCGCTTTGGGACGTCCTCCCGACGTAAAAAGCGCTATATCAAATGCAAGGATTATTATTATTATTTATTATTATTGTATCACAGGCAAATGGGAGCCGTGCCATACAGTACGACAAGTATTAACTAGTTTAAGAAAGAGAAAATAACTAGGGCAGCCACACACACAGATACATGTAACCACACACACACACAACACATAACACATGCACAGGATAAATGCTTCTATTGTGTGCCATATTTCTGATGTTTTGTATATCCTTCCGAGTGTCTTCATTCTAAAAGTAAGTGCACACATTCAGGGTCACTAGACATATTCATATTCCCACCAATTCCCCTCCACTCAAAGAACCTGCGTCCTTTATTCGACTGGGGTACGGTTCCACAAGAGGGCAATGATTGTGTGTCAACCTTGACCCTGAGGGTCAGCGGACTGTTTGACCGTGGAGACCAGCGAAGCTGAGGCTGGTCCTGTCCCTCCATCCACACACATGCGCACACGCACATCCCAGGAAGTCACTGGGTAGCAGTGGGCAGCAGGACCTCTGATTTATTTTCCCTTCCCTCCTTCCCCAGGGGGCAAAAGACGACTTGTCATGCACCAAACATGGCCCCACCTGAGATCAGCTTAAGTCAACAGAAACTGGGATGTTCAAACTTATTGCACTGTTCAAAAAAAAAAGAGGAGGGAGTTTCTCTCTCCCAGTGTCCTGCCAACATTCTCCCAGGAGGTTGGGGAGAGGGGGATAAGGAGGATGGAAGCTTGTGTGGAGTACAAACACGGAATGTTTCGCGCACAAAATACACAGTCACTACACTTTACAGTATATTCTGTGAAGCGCTTTGAGACATCTCGACGACATGTTAAGGCGCTATATCAAATGCAAGGATTATTATTATTATTATTATGGACTGGTAAGGCCGTTTCCAGCGCTGTAGATGCAATTTGATGCAACGTTATACAATAATGTAAATGATGTAAAATTGATATAATTCCACAAATTCCTTCTGCTGGGTCGTGGCCTGAAAAGATCTGTTGTTAGTCGATTGGCGGATCGCTTCCCGGAGGTAATAATCAATCAAAAAAAAATGGTTGCTCAATCCACGCCTGTTTGTGGGACACTGCAGTGTGCAATTGGCTGCCTACAAAATAAAGTAAAAATATGATACATTCCGGGAAGCGCTTTGAGACCTCTCAACGACGTGATACAGCACTCTATCAAGGGCAAGAATTATTATTGTTATTGCTTTGCACACATTCCTACTGATCATTGCCCAGCTGGCTCACCACTTTTACATTTAAATCGCCCCTCTGTTTTGCTTTTGGGCTATTGCAGAAAATCCCTGTGAAACAGTTTGAGACATTCTTCCTGACTTGAAAGGCGCTGTATCAAATGCAAGGATTATTATTATTATTATTTCCACTCTACATTTTTATCTCTCTCACCCACCCCACCCCCACCTCCCCTGCTTTCCCACTCCCTCTCCATTTGACATATCTGTGCTTTTCTCAGGGGCAGGCATCATTCTGATGTCTAAGAATAGAAAGACCGAGTGGCTCTGACAAAAGGATGGACTTTTATGGGTTTGTGAACGCTGCTCCCGTTCAGACAAACCGCATAGCTGGCATAACACTTCAACTGTACTTCACCAATCAGGTTATCAAGTGGTCACTCACGGAGGAGAGGGGGTGTAAAAACTCTTTCTGTGAGGAACTTTGAAATAAACTTTCAGATCTCAAGAAACCTGCTGCTGCTGCTGCTCAGGCACCCCCCTCTTCATTTAGGTAAGAAGTTTCACTTATACATAAAATAATCCTTACCACGCCACAGAGATGTCTAAAAGCATTTAGAAGCAGTTTGTGAGCGAACTTTACAAAATGGACTTTCACAAAACGGACCTTTGTTTTCAAGGTGAACCCTGTTTTCTTTCTTCGCTCTTATGCAGATGATATTAAATGCACTTCTGCACCTTGGGCCGTCCTCCCGATGTGAAAGGCGCTATACAAGTGCAATTTGTTTGTTGTTACGATAATTCTTTGCTCAAGAATGAAGCGTATCAACTATGTACATAGCCTCTACAGCACCAACACTTGTTGGCGAGTCGCAAATTTGAGACATAAATATAAGATAGCTGGTAGCAGATCTATGAGAGAGTTTAGAGAGGAACATTTTCACACAGAGGGTGGTGAGAATATGAAACTCAGTGCTGCAAGCTCCAGTTAAAGTAAAAAGCATGAATGTATTTTAGAGAAAACTTGATGCAAACATGAGTGAGAAGGGGAATAAATAATAATAATAATAATAATCCTTGTATTTGATATAGTACCTTATCAGGTGTATAAGCAAGGAAATAAAATGGGGTGGGAGGCTTGTTTGGGTACAAACATTGGCATAGACAAGTTGAATCCATTTGCTTGTTTGCAAGCTATATTTCTCTCCTAAGTAGCTCATAAATTATTTCAACCAATTTCCTCAGCAGGATTTGACAACGGGTCAGGTTCAAACGTGGCAAAATTTGCTTTGTGTTAATGTGTGACCTTCCTTTATGCTGTGTGTGGCCGTGATTGTGCTGATGCTATCTGTGTTTGCTTTCTGTATCTGTGAAAAACGAAATGAAAAATCATCTCCAGAAGCCTGAAAAAACAGCCAATCTTGTATTTAAGGTCACGAAACACACATGAAGTCATTGCTTCACACTCTTATCTTAAATTATTGAATCCTTTTTCCAGACACCCTCTTTA